CTAAAACTTGATAGTTACATATTAAAGCCAGATTATATCAGGCTATATTACCACTATTATTAATAATAAAAAATGCTAAGTAATTTGCCACTAGAGGTATGCATTAGGTGCTATCTCTTGAAAAATTTAATAATTACAATTAAATTAATATTTTAATAATTAATTTAAAAGGTTCTGGAAGAAAAATATCAGCCCAAAGCAGGACTCGAACTTACAATGACTGCTTATCGTGCAGCTGCATTACCAGTTACTCTACCCAGACGTGTCTGATCTTTGCTTCCGAACTATTAATTTAGATATAACCATATCCGATTACTTATAATGTCATCTGGAGAAGACTCAGTATTCATGGTCTGTAACTCCCACTATGGCAAGAGATGATGTATAATGCCTTACTTCTAGTGCCAAATTACTTAACATTTAATAATAGTAGTAATATAGCTTGACAATACAATTTCTTATAAAATATAAGTCAATTTATAGTCCAACAGTAGTAGTAATGGTGACTTCAACAGTCACTAGCCATCATTGGGATTGAGAGGTCTAAACAACATAATTTATAGATAAAAATCTAGTTAGCATCTAATCTGATTCAGTACAGTGTCGGCATTAAACTTTAAAGCTACATCATTAGAGCCAAATTTATATTACTAACTGAATGTGATGAAAAGTACAATTAAATGAAACTTTATAGCCAAACCAAACAAACTGCCATACTATCCTGCAATAAGGTTAACTTTAAGAATTATATATGAGGTAATTTGACAAGAGGTAGATGGTTAGTCCCAGTTGGCAAAGTAAGAGATAAAGTTATATCTAAATTAATAGTTCTGGAAGTGAAGATCCAGTTTGTGTAATTGGCAATGCAGCTGTACGGTTTGTAGGAATTGCTGGTTCGAGTCCTGCTCTGGGCTGATTATTTTCCACCAGAAATTCTAATTTTAATTTAATTTAATTAAAGTTATCATAAGATGACAGCCTAACCACTTACCTTCGCCGAATTACTTCATATCTAATTCATAAAATTAGCCTTATTGTAGCCTGATAATACAGTGGTTTGTATGGTTTGGCTTTAATTATTAACTGAGTTTGTGAATTTTTTTATACATTATAAAGTTTCATATATAATATGAAACTTTATAATGTATTAGATGCAAAAACTCATCAACAACTGCCGTAAATCATTGGGCTATAATTTGGAACAAATAGTTCTAAATTACAAATGAATTTGGTACTAGAGGGAAGCGTTAAGCACCATCTCGTATAAAAATTAATAAATAAATGTTTACATGTATTAGATGCACGATATATTTGTAATATCTAAATATTTATAAATAGAGAGGTTGCGGCCGACGTTTTCATCGCGAAAACGTGAACGTCGGACGTTCAGCGCCTCCTTCCTGTAAGCCTAAAAGTTTGACAATGGCGTTTGGAATGTCAGTGGAATTGTGCTTGACGTTCCAAACGCCATTGTCAAACTTCTAGGCTTACAGGAAGATGACGCTGAACGTCCGACGTACACGTTTACGCGATGAAAACGTTGGCCGCAACCTCTCTAATATACAATATAATCAAAAATCAAATTCTATAGAATGAGAAACTGAACTAACTGCATATCTTTAGAACAAACTATATTGTTCAATTGGCTTAAAATAGAATCTAAAAATAATCTTGCAATTTATACTACTGTGATCAACTATCAGGAATGGTTCATTTAAACTGAACATGTGCAAAAGGGCCCTGTCATTTTTTTTTTAATCATTTTGTACAACTTTTATTAACATTGTAATTTCATTTGTGTAAGAACAAATAGACAAGAATTATATATAAATTGCTACAAACTTATCCCACTCAGTAAAGGGGATATAAACTTGACAATAACACACTCAAGATTCACTATCCCTCCCTCGCGGGTTATCAGTTAGATATCGAGTTCTCACTCCCAAACATTTCAGTCCGTACAATATTTAATGCAAGAAAAGCTCCCAAATGCACCTAGATTTCAGCCACTTTTTTCTTCTCCCCTTTTCCACTGTTAGGGAGCCATCTTTGATATATATATATATATATATATATCTTGTAGGGGAGAAAACCTCTCCTTGATCACTAGTTCTCCTTGAATGTTTGCCAAAGTCCTCTCGATGGTTAGGTTCAAAGAGAAGTAAAACAAAAACAAAAAGATAGCTGCCACACCAATTTTCTCATTTATACATCATTGCAATCATCTTTTCTTTTCTACCAATCAAGGCATATCTCGAACAATGGCATAGTTGGACTTACTCAGATGCTCACCTGACAGGACAAGACCATTATTGCCTGTAGTGATAAATACGCAAGGGATGTTATAAAACCACAGGGTGAGAATAACACAATAAATGACACAAATATGGAACATGGAACAGAAGTATCACAATGCCATATGGATTACTGCTAGATGTTGTCTGTTTATGCTTGCAAACATGTTTCATGTTTGCAAGCATAAACAATGTTTCATGTGTAAAGAATTTTTAGGTTGGTGATTTTTCAAAATGTTGAGCGTAATTGAGCAAAGAATATGCATTAACTTTTGTTTTTGCAATGGAATTACTGCTACAGAAATGTCGAAAATGCTGCAGAAAGCCTTTGGTGGCAATAATCTATTAAAAACAAGAATGTTTGAGTGGTTAATCTATCAAAAACAAGATGCTCAAGAAGGTGAAAAATGCATTGAAGTTGAACCACATTCTGGTAGACTATCCACTTCAACTAATGAACAACACCTTGCTCAATGATCATCATATAACAATTAGGGGCATTACTGAACATGTTCTGCTATCATTTTTGGATCTTGTCAAGCAATTTTAAAAGATCATGTGGACTTGCAGTGTGTTGCTTCTTGAGTTGTCTTGAAAACATTGAATTTTTTTCCAAAACAACACATTCAAGTGGCAGAGGAAATGCTTTCTTGAGGCAAATCATTCTTAAAATACATCATTACAGGTGATGAAACATGGATTTATGCTTTTGACACTGAAACAGCTCAACAACTAAATGAATGGCATTAAAAATAAATAAATAAATAAATAAAGCAAGATCAAAAAGACCACGTCAAAGTCAGTCAAAAATCAAGGACGTGCTGACTGTTTTCTTCAATTGTCATGGTGTTGTACATCACAAATTCTTCCGACTGGCCAAATTGTCAACAAAGATTATTATTTGAGCATTTTGTGTCATTTGCTTGAAGCAATTCTTAGAAAATCATCAGATTTGAGACAAGAAACTCGTGGATTTTGCACCACAATAATGTACAGTAGCTGCTCATAATTCTCTTATTGTTCCTGAATTTTTGATAAAAAATTCCCCAAATACAGTTTTGCAAGCTCAGTATTCACATATGGCACCTTGCAATTTTTTTCCTTGACTAAAATTTCTGCTTCATGGTCATTGTTTTGAGTTCATTGATGCCATAAAACAAAATTCACTGAGAATTCAGAAGGGGTTTCATGAAATAAACTATAAAGCATGTTTTAAGGACTGGACAAAATGTCGGCATAAATGCATTGCCGTGGGAGGTGTTTACTTTGAAGGAACAAAATAAGTTTTGATAAATAAATTAAAATCTTGCATTTTATTGAACCATTCCCAAGACTTCTTAATTATGGGTATATTTTTTTGGAGGTGTTCTACTTGTGTATGTTTTTAATGTATAAGTAAGTCTATTGGGAGTAATGGAATACAGTCAAGCTAGGACTATCATTTTAATTGTATGTATTTTATCCGTCAAAATTCACTTTACAGTAATGACAAAAGCAGTAAGTTTAGAGCCTATTAGAATGACAATTATAAATTAAACATACACAAAATAAATAGTAGAAACTAAAAACAAGGTATGATATAAGTCTATGGTCTTTTTCACATGTTTTCTGAAGATGTTCTTAGTGACTTTAGACAAAGGAAAAAGCTGTTTGATACTTGCAATTTATAATCAGCATATAACTGGCTCCATCACATAACTTGCACATGCTTTCAAATTGCCTTTTAAACACAGATAATCTGAAAACTACACAAAATTACAGTAAATTTAGTTGGTTTGTATCAAAGCAATTGCATGTTGATGTCAAAAGAAGTACTGTTGTTCTCTTTTTATCATGTTAAAGAACATATGACAAATATATTGTAATGAGCATGTAGTTTATCATTGTGAACACAACTTTTTAAGACCTTACAATTAGTATACAGAATTATTGAAAGAATCTTGAAATGCAATCTTGATGTAAATGAAGATAGTTGTTCTTGAGAAAGTCATTTTTATTCAGGTTGGTAATTTCATTCATGTTTCCTTAGTTTCTCACTCAAACACCAGTTTCTCCTCCACTAAACTAATGCATCCACTAGCCATAAACCTTTAAAATACCTGAAGTATACCAGGTATTGAGCTACAGTATAAAAGCTATTATTTTCCTCTAAAGGCTCCAGAAGGAAATGCACTAATCCATATACGTATTCAGTGAGATGGCACCCACGTAGTCCCAGTACATATATTATTTCATAAATAATTGCATAATAAAATAAGCCTTTTGCCTATATATAAAAACTTATTACTCATATCAACCCTTTTGAACCTTGAACTTTTTAATTATATAGAATATACATATATACACAGAAATTTATACAATATATGTGTTTTATTATAACAAAATTGAATTTAATGCGATGTAGAATATTACAATATATAATATCATGAATGAAATATGTAATAAAATATATCGTTGCCATTAAACACATCATCATCTTATGACAATCATTTTAATACTAAAATACTCTGCCTAAAATTTAGTTTAACTACAACTGAAAATAATGTAAATATGTTCTTAAATATCAAGGTACTTTATAAAATAATAATAATAATTTCAATAAGTAATATCTTAAAATTAGTATTTATAATGAGAAAAACCAGTTAAAAATACAAAAACTTATTGGTACAAAATTAAAAACACAAAATTTAAATTCAAAATGAATACCTTGTAATTAGCTAAAGCGTGCGAGCCCTCAAATATATATAAGTGATCCTGACAATCCAACGCAAGATGATCGAATCTTAACATAAATCTCTGAGACACCGAATCCGTTCGAAAGGTGACTGTGCATTCGAAATTTCCTTCCCCCTCCGACGTAACCACAGCGCCATCGATTTTCTTATGAAGTGGCATAGGTCTATCTCTGGCACATAATGTAGACATGTGATCTGAAAATTCAGAAAAATCTCAGCATGTATTTTAAAATGATAAAATATTTTTCATTATTAAAGAAGAGATCGTCGTCAAATAAAATAAGAACAAAACCCAATAAAATTTTCTTAGAGTAATTCTTTACGCATTCAAGGAATTTATTTGCTTCTATTTTGTTACTAAAAAAAAGTTGCGATTATATTTTAAATGTTACATTACACTAAACTTTAAAATTAAATAGTTCTTTATAATTACAATTCTTTAAAAACTATTTTAACGGAAAAAGAAAAAACAGTTCTAAGTATTTCTCAGCTTCCTTGATCATCAGAGGAAGATCAATCTTGAAGTCTGTGTGGACATTTTGAGTTTGAGAGAGAGTTTAAAAAATATTTAATTAGTGTAATTCTAAAAAATATGAATTTTCCAAATAAATAATTTCTTAGCTTGCCCCTGATGACAAACTGGAAGGCTTCAACGTGCTAAAAACTCAATGTGAGACATCCACTTGATTGGAAATACCATTTTTCCATTTGGTGTTAAAGCAACCATTTCTCCTAATTTGATCAAATTCTTTGATAGCTAAACAGATTTGCTCTTTGCCTTCGACTTCATCCTGAAGAAAGTGGAACAGACAGTCAATTTCACTTTTATTGAGTGTTCCAACATTTGTTGTTTGGCCAATTGGATGTTCCTCCTCAGGTAGTTTTTCGGATTAGCAGTAAACTGCTCTAAATCATTCCCAAGCTCTGTCATCTGGCAGAAACAATTCAACTAAGAGAGAGAGCATTGCTTATTTATCTTTTGTAATACCTAAAGTATCTAAGTCCTAGAGCTATCTCTCTAATTGTAGAAAATCCTCAGAGACACTACCTTGCTTAAATTTTTTCTTCACAGAATCAACATTAATAAATCAAAAACGAACCTCCAATTAGTTTTTTTTCCTACTAAAATAAGCTCTTATACTGCTTTATTACGACTATTATCATCTAGAGTAAAACTTCTTATTAACTCTTTCATTGAGGTCTACTCCTGTATTGTTTGAGACAAGTAAAATTCTGACACAGATGCCAGTTGTTTTGAACTCTCTTATTGTGAAGTAATATGGTATCTCTAGTAGAAAACACTCTAGTCATTGTTCAGATAAAAAAAAAAAAATTTTATTAACACTAGCACCAATATACTTTGCTACTCACACAATCCACATTTACTATAAACTCAGAACAAAAGAAAAACACCAGCAAAAAATTTATATGTAAAAGAAACAAACAAGTGTTCACAACTGTCCTTCTAACACCATAGGAACAACAATATTACAGGGGTGGAGTCAATGTTTATGTTGACTCTTTTCTGCCTCAATATGCAATTGTCAAAAAAATATCATCTGGTGGTGGTAATTTGTTGTTAAATTGTAATACCAAGGTTCCTATGGGAAGCCCTATCTGACGAGATCTATGTGAACTAGTATTAAGACAGCTTGAATATGAACAATAGCATATAGGCTTTTGACAATCAATGGCACTGTATTTACACTATGTGGACGAGATCCTAATCATCTGGATAAAGATGCCCAATGCAGACTATTTTTTTAAGCATAGTAAACAACCTATATGGATTGACATTACAGCTAGAACAAAACAGTGGTTATGAGACACACTTTCTAGATATAAAAATTAAACTGCAAGGAGACTATATAAAAACATCAGCATATTATAAGCCAGAACATTGACCACTCCACCATACAAACAATATCTTGCAATTTATTTAAAGCCACAGCATTTAGAGCTCTAATTAGAAAAGCATTTATGCATAGCACAGTATCTAAGACACTTATAAAGAGCTAGAAAACATTAAAGTAATAACAAAAAGTCATGGATCCCCTAATAGATTAATCAATTGCCTAATCATTACATATAACTGTGAGGGACCGGACCTGATGAATTTTAATAGAAATTCATTTTTCGTCTTTCAAAAAAAATTGTTTTCCATTTTATTACCGGAGAATGATTACATCTCTCTCTCCGAAGTCATTTCCTTTCCCAGTTAACTCATCGAATGTGTCACTGGGAACTAATAACAAAAATTCCCAATTGGTGAAAAAAAGATAACGTGATTTGGAGGTATAAAAAAGAGTAACTCAGGAACAAGGATAGTCCGAGAGTTTGCCAATTGCCCTCCTTGAGAAAGGATATTCGAGTGTGCTTCCCAATCGCCAATCTGCTGCTGTCATTCCCCCAACTGTCGCTCTTTTTTTTTTTTTGACAATTGAGGTTCTCCCTCCAGGAACCCTTTGGATTTCTCCATATAGAAGCTTGAACTTTTCCACCAGGGTACACCCAATCTATGACCATCTGACGAAGTTCAAGAATCGACGAAACAAGGTATTTATCGCTGCGCGAAAAATAAATGTAAACTCTCTCTCTTGGTCAGGAATCCATTAACCTCAGATGATGCTATATAGCTAAGATGTATATAAACAAACGGGTATTTTTCATTCTAATTAAGTATTAGTGTGCACTTCTTCCGATCTGCCGTCTCTCAATCCTCCTCTATCTCGAATCAGATTGTCCGCACACGTGACCGCTTGTGCAAATTCTGAATTTGCGACCATTAAGGTTTCTCTGTCAGTCCTAGAAGACATAGTGGTGTCAGTCCTGATAAGGCACTAAAGAGGTGCCGACCCTCTGGTCACATAACAATAGTAACCATAAAGTACAAAGAAATAAAAAAATACTTCAAATATTACCATATCCTACAACCTTAAATTTAATAACATTTACAGAGAAATAGCAAGGAAAAGGAAGGCTAGATTACATTATACGAGAAATCTGACAACATACCAACTAATATACAATGAAAAAGATGAAAGATATGACTAAAGTCTTTTAGGATTTTAATTGGTGTTTGTGAGTGTTGTTTTTACTTTTAACCAGTTAGAGTGGTGTCGGATGTTCTAAATAAACAAGATATCTTTAATAGACACCAGATCCCATATATGAAATGAATATATTGGGCAACATACCCTGCTCCCTCTTGATAAGGTTGCATGAGCACACAATAGATAAAAAAATAAACAGTGGCACTGAACATGTATGCAACAGACCCAGGAATACAAGTACTATTTGGAGAAGCCTCCTTAATCTACTTGGTGGAAACAGAAATCATTTAAGTCCCCTCAAACAACTAGAAAGATATTTATTTTTCAGAAAAAAAAAGAAAGATTGCATTAATTTTAAAGACTGGAATGTCATTTTTACAACCTGGAAAGTACAGTTAAGAAGTTTAATCAATTTGGTTTAAGTTGCTCTTTTGGTTTCTGTTTGTTCTTTGTTGGTTTTTGTTTTGTTTTATAAATTCATTTTACTTGTCATTACTATATTTGTATTGTTAAATATTTGAAAAAAAATCAAGGCTATTACCAAGGTGACATCTCCCAAACATAAAATTCAATGTTATTCCTTTGCTAAGAACTCTGAGGTTCACAAACTACGACAAAAATTCTAAGAATTGAAAATTAACATTAAAAAAACAATGTATTTTTTAGAAATTTATTCTACGTGTAAGCACCGAGGATGACTTTGGAAACGTTAAAAACATTTTAAAGTTAGAATGAATTAGCTGAAGCTAAAAGATTACTATTATATATTTTTACTCTGCTCTTTCAGCTTGGTGATATATCACAAATCAATAAAGAACAGATGATTAGTTTTCGTCAGCTTTAAAAGTTTAACGATAAATTTTTAGATTCTAAAAAGATAAAAATAATCGGTTTAAATAAATAAAACAATTATATTTTGATGCTACTTGTCAAATATAATATAATAAGTACAATAATTGTCAAAATATTTAAAAGTCAAGTGCAATCATCAAGAGTGTTATCAATGTATCTGTAGTAAAATGCAGCATAATATACATGCCACAATGGTATTGTATACACGAAGTGTCTAAATAACTTGCACTTAACAATGCGAGATGCTACTTATAAAACGAATAATTGTAAATTTTGAACATAAACGAATTTATTTTTGATACGAAAACAAATTTAATTAACACGTCAGCTACATTTGTTTTGACTTGAAAAAAAAAATTATTATTAGTTTATGATTGATTTGCAATATAAAGGAATATAAGGTAATATCTGGTATATTTCAACTTATATAAATGAGAATTACAATCTCTCTTTAAATTGAAGAAGCCTAATTATTCTAATGTCGAAATTTAAAGGTCTAACTTCATCTTTAGACATAAGATGTAAACATTTCATTAGAATCGTTAAAGGAATAAGAATATTTTCCACAATTCTTTACGAAGTAAATTGTTCGAAACATTATTTCTCACATTATTACTACAGTAACAATTATTTTGTTGTAACTAGATAGTATCTATAATATACAAACTTATTCTGCATTTAAGAGGTATATAGTAACAACACTAATTGGACATTAAAGTGAAATTATGTAAAATCAAATCATTAATAAATACTATTGTAAATATCATAAATCTGTTACATAAAGATTTACAATGTTCGTATAATTAGTGTTCCATAACTATAAGAATTATATATATTATATTGCAATGTTATTCTTGAAACTAGATAAACAAGGCAGTAAACATAAAATCAAATACAGTAGGATGGTCGACAATAGCCATATAGTCTTGAAATTATACAGAATTTAAGCATTACTCAAACTGTTGTCATGGTTACTATGTTTGTGTACAAACATATGATATAATACACAAATGGAAATTAATACATATATAAATCTGAATACAATCAGAACATTGTAATAACTCTAAATTTTAAACCTTAAAGAGTTATACTAATAAAAGAAAAAGAATTATATAATTTCTACAGGAAACTTGTTATGAAAATTTTTAAGATTCATTTGGTTCATGCAATAAACCATTAAGCTTTCAATCAAGCTATAATTGAGTAAAATTGTTTTTCTTAATTTTTGATGATATAACAACAATCATTCTGTCTTTTGATCAATATTTCATTTTCAATTCTTTTTACCAA